AAGCATCTCCAGGTGGTTGCTCAACCTTTTGGACGGTGAAAGCAACACCACCCTTAAAGTTCATACGATCATCTCTCCACTCGTTACTCGAGAGAACAAAGCTCGGAAGAAGCCGACCCCTTTTCAGTAAATCATCGCTGACTTTTTTAACAGTTCTTTGTCCACTGTACGGAACACCTAGACCATGGTTTGCTCCTTTAATGCGCCAATTTTTACTCGTAGAAACATTAAATTAATTACAAATACGCTCATACGCGGACCTATTGTACGGATTATTTGTGGAATTCCACGCTCCATCCTGCGGTAATGGAGCACTAATTTCTTTAAGTATACGTCTAATCTGATAGTACACGTGAAATATTATAACAGACTTATATAGTTTAAATCCTGGGGCATTAACAGATACACCACATCCCGTTGTGGCACACCATATGGCAAAGTTTAACTGATTCTGCCAAAATTGCATCGGATTGTGAAACCAATCGTGCACCATTTTATCGCTAGTTGCCGTGACCCTGTACTTTTCAAAGATATCTGGGAATTTAACGAAAAAATCAGTACCATAGGAATTTACCATAATCGATAGATTAGTAATGTGTCTCGATTTCATATTTAAGTTATGATATAGTATCATTGTATATTTAATATGTATGTTACACTCCCGGGAATAACAAATGGCCAGTCTATTGAACTGCTTCGTACTATCGATAACTCGGATGGTCAAGTCGAAGTCGCTCTATGCGATGTAACGTGGTGGACTAATATAAATACTGTGAAAGAAAATAATAAGATTGATATATTTAGTGTAAACAGTGGTATTACTATACCTGATGGGTATTTCAGCGTATGCTCACTCAATGATGAAATTTTTAAGCCTAATGGAATTAGTCTCACACAAAATGAGTCGAATGGGACAGTGAAAATCGACAATGAGGAAACAAATATACTTTTATTGGACCCATCAGCTACACTTGGATTTACACGCTTAATTGGCACAATATACAAGTTACCAGATCAGGAGGTTAAATTACCTGATTTAGTTCCCTATAAAGAGTTGTGTATCCATCTTGATCAAATCAGTACGACAAATAATATTCAACTAGAAAGTCCTTCAACTCTGCTCAGATCTGTTCCAGTGAAAAATGAAAAATATAATAGCGGTAGAACAGAATCTTTCTCGTCATTACAATATATAAAATTAAAACATGGTATTATTTCAGACCTCAAAATTTCTGTATTAGATGTAAAACACCAACCAGTACATATAGGATACTTCAGTGTAATACTCCATATTAAAAATAATGGTTGATGCATCAGGCCCTGGAACGCTCAGACAATGTAATACAATTGCGCTTTCCGATCTCGGAGACACAGAAGGATTCGATAAACTCGGTACCAATGGTAAGTTATACGCTTTACACTTACACGATAATGTATACAAGCGGAAAGAAGTCACATTCACGGGTAATCTAGAAGATTTAAGCGATGTCGACGTTAGTAGACTCCTTAAAAACACTTCGTACAATATTATTCGCAACGACATTATAAATGGACTATGGTCGAAGCAAACATCGAGTGGCTACTGAATATCGTCATTACCCTACCTTATGCGATGATAGGTAAGGGACATAATTTAACTAAAATAATAAATAGTGGCATTGTACTCGCGGCTTATATCCCATCAAAACGAAAAAGTGTGTTAGTCACTTTTCTGCCAGAAGACCCAGGTCATACGTTATATAGTCGTCCGGCCTTAAAAAATGTTAGTTTAAATTTGGTTACTGAATTCGATGATATTAAAGTTAACCTGAGTGCAATACTTAATACTTCTACGCTTATTATTGAAGTCTTGTTCGGAGATGCACCGGTAGATGCCTTCTAAATATTACCAGGTCTATCGATTAAATGGCTCAAGAAACACCAACGTCAACGTTGCAGTATTATTCATATCAGAGCATCGCCCGTTGCAACCCTCGAGGGGGGGCCAAATTATTAAAAGTGGTAGTATTTTATTAAGATATTCTTGCCGTATAATATTAATTTGATAAGGTTGATGTATACTCTCAAAACATTGAAGCAAGACCAATTAAAGACTATTATATGATCGTAAGATACACTATGAGTTTATATCCGGCGCTCGATGAGGCATTTGAAAAGATGGATACTGTTGATGGATTTCGATTACATCAAATAAGCGACATAAAACATTGAATAGAGAAGGATAGGGAGTTGAGACTTGGATTATATAAAAAGTATCGCAGAGCCGTGAATGCTCTCGACGGAGTTGACACCGCGCTTGTAGCAGCTGGCATGGGACTCGGTGTAGCAGGCGTCGGTTTACTATCAACTATAATCGCCGCGCCTATCGTGCTCGGCATGGAAATAGCCGCTGGAGTCTCTGGACTGGCAGGAATAGCCATAAAATTCATTTCTCGTAGGTTACAAAAGAAAGCATTAAAACATGATAGTATTCGGATACTCGCCGAAGCAAAGTTGAACAGCATTGAGGATCATATTTCAACAGCAATGGTCGATTGTAAGATATCCGAGGAGGAGTTTCGTTTAGTGTTGTCAGAACTCACCAAATACAACGAAATGAAGCAGGAGATTCGATCAAAATCTCATAAGACCAGTGGTATTAGCGAAGACGAGAAAAAAAAGTTCATAGAACAGGGGAGGCAACAAGCGCGTCAGTTATTCCGTGCCAAAACCAAAGAACTGGTTGGAGATTAAAAATAGATTGCTTACTATCGTTGGATCACATTTAGAGCAATGCTTACATACATATATATAATAATGGAGATCGAAAAAGCTATTAAATGGAGAGAATTACCACAAGGTTTTTATTATATCAGTGATGTCAAACCAACCAAATATGGTTATAAATTGTTTCTTATCAATTTACAAGAAGAGTGTAATTATATAGTCTGGTCTCCTAGTAAAATGAACGAAGAACTTAATAAAAATGTTGAATATCGCTTTATTGATAAAAATAATGAAGAATATTTTTATTACCATTTAGGCTCATCTAAAGCAATGATTGGCCCCAGGTATTGGTGAGCTAGAGCCAATTTAACTTAATCTTATGACTATCGTTGAATCGCATAGTCATTTTGGCATAAAAAATGCAACCTGTAGTAGCAGTATAGGTATATAAATCCAGCTCTAGTGGAGTTGCAGCAGAACCCCTATTACCTATAAAAATTTATATCATCGACTCCAGGTGGTGGTGAGCTGGAGTCAATTTAACTTAATCTTATGACTATTGTTGAATCGCATAATCATTTTGTCATAAAAAAATCCATCTTTAGTAGCAGTATAGGTTTATAAATCCGGCTCCAGTGGAGTTGCGGCAGAACCCCTATTACCTATACTACTGCCCTTGTTTAATGAAGCACCGACAGTTTGAAATCGTCCATCCTCCAGCGCCTTATGCTAAGACAATTCAGCAGGCCAAAGCAATGGGTCTTTTGGCTTTGCCTGACCTAGGGCTAGCCAACACATAGTCAAAGTAGTCGTAATGCTGGCCCACCATCCGTACACAGCTTTAATCTAGTTGAACTTGTTTCACTATTTGCTCCTTTATCATAAGGTTTAGGATGGTAAAACATTTCCAGGATAATCCTTGTCACTTCTTGCCATTGCTCCATAATGTAAGCAGGCAATTACATGAAACATAGTGGCAGGCTTTTCTTGTGAAGTCTAAGATATACTTGTCCAGCTTTGCATCTACCTTTACTTTTCAGCTTTTCCTTTCGGGTGATACACCAATTATCACAGTGTAAAGGTGTCAAGGTTGAATCAAGGTAAAAATTCATAATATCCCAAAGAAACAGAACATACATGTTCGGCCCTAACTACACATATGCAAAAAAAATCAATACATTTTGAAAAGATGGCCTTAAATTAATGGCTGTGGATCAGAACCTCTTGGAACAATTTGGCATGTCATCGTTGGTGGAAACAACCGTGTATAATAATAATATAACTTAAACAATTTTGATACAATGAGCAGAAGAATTGTATCTGAAACAATTATTTCATCAGGAATAATATATTCCAATATCATGTAATTTTAGTTGCACCTTTACTATATTTGAAATAAATAAATAACCATTAGCATAGCACTTTGGTACAGCTTATTGCTATTGCCGGATATTTCTTCCTATGGAACAATTTGATCAATCACTGTCAATAGCGGTAATCTGACTGCGGTTGCTGTGAATAACGATGTGTTGTGCGATCAGTTGAAATGAATGTAAACAGTATTGAATGAATTCTTTATCAAAATTAATAAAATAGATTACAAACATAAGTCCAGATATACAATGAACACGTTTTATAACTAGACAGTGTAATCACATGATTAATTTGTGTACTTCAGTACAGATTTGTTGACATGGTATTTCCAGTGTTACGTGCTAACAGCAATGTCTTTGTGTTGGGGAAAAATACCATCAAAACTCTTCAACCCTGAGTACAAGGCGACTGCCCTTAAAAGCCCCCTAATTCTAGGTATGAAAAACTTGCCTTATCCTCAGCAATGTACTGTAATTGACATTTCCATTCATGCTGCCATGGCAGCCTTATTCTAAAATCAAATCGTAATTCTGTGGGCAATTTTAAACACAACATTGCTAGGATCCTTCATGCAAAGTTTCAGCTTCATAAGCCTTTTGGCTTCACAGGATATGTCATAAAGGGGACTGCCAAATGGACAGACAACATGACATAACACAAGCTCAGGTGAGATAAATGACATTTGGAAATTGGCTAAGATGGATGCCATTTGTAAAATCAGATACACATTTTGTGCACAATTTTTGGAGACATATATATATATATTTAGCATGATAGATCATATTGAATAATGACAAATGACAAGACATATAACAGATGTCTTTTGTGGCTACAGCTGTTGCAAAAATGTTAACTATTGTTGATAATGAATCTATCTAATATATGCTGGAACTCCTAGGGAAGTAGAAGGGTCTTCTCACCTTGGCAGCATTTTCATTTTGACCAAACTGAGCCGTTAGGATGCCAAGGTTTAGATGTGCCACTGTAAGAATAAATATAGTTCATTTAACATTCTGTACATACTGGCAGAACTAGCTAAACATCTTGTGTGAAAGATCGCACAACATGATTTTCTTAACATTATCAAAGTTATTCATGGTATGTCAGTGGTTGTAACAGCTAAAACTTGCCACAGCACTGTAGCTCAACAGGAAAAAATAGCTTAAATGGGAACACACAAAAGCACTGTCGGAAATGCTTTTTGCCCGTCAAAACAAGATAGAAGAATGTTTCACAGACTGTTGCTATTGAAATATCAAGTAACTACCGATCTACTTAACAGTAGTTTGAAGAATTTCAGTCACAAGGAGTCCTATCGGCAATTTTACAGGAGAAAAAAAATGAACGAAAACAGCAAGCTCAGATTTATTTTAAGTCCAATGAGGGAAGTCTGAAAAGTGACTATAGAAATATGTGCACGCGACTTCACTAATTATTGCTTTCCACGTGATAGGATAGTCAATACACTGACCATGGCATTATGACCGAGCACTTTTCAGGTAAAAATATTCCATCCTGTCTATGAGGTCAGAGCTTTCAGATCATTTACCTTGGTGAAACCTCGGTGACTAAGAATCTTTCCACTGACTACATGTGGCTACCGTCAGATGGATGAAAAGCACCCATGTTACCATCAGGTTAAGGTAATCGTGTCATTTTTTTGCATGCCGTAACCGGTGGTCTTGGGCTTATTGATGGATGTGAGCTAGTTTTCTATGTGAAAATAAAACTGATTGTCATCAGGAAATGAATGGTGATGTGTTCATAGACTGGTTGTAGCATCAGCTACTGCACAATCTGAACAACTCCAATGTAACTATCACGGATAACGCCACTTATAAAGTCAGGGAACCAGATCCTGTCACACCAACCATGAGTAGTCTGAAGACGACCTTATCTGACAGGATGTCGTTCAGACAATAGGCAGTATATTGTTTGCTCACAGTTTCCATAAAAATGTTCATTCCTCAGTACTTTTATCGTTGTATGATGAAATGTGGCAAAATTTGCTGTTTTCTTGGATCCAACAAGATAGTGGATAGCATTTAGCAGTGTCTACTTTTTAAACTAGTTTAAATATCTGTAATTAATTTGACATTCTCAGACAGGTAATTTCTCAGCGTAATTTTATAGTCAGAGGTAGGCCCAGTGCCGCTCCACAGCAAATTCTTGCACAATATTTACTGTCAGAGTTTATAAAAATGTGCATCATAAAAATAACTTAGCATCCAGGGGGTTAAATCATCAAAGAACATTTCAGAGAAATAAATACACAAACATCATGAAACATCATGAATATCACTGGCACCATAGAATCTTAGCATTTGTCAATCATCAATTAACATCAACATCCTCATATTCCATAATAATAATAAAAGAATTCTTGCAATAATGTGGAACATTATAATAATATTTGAAGATAAATATAAAGTTTAAGAAATGTATATGTAAGAAATGTATAAAATATGAGCTTCCTGAAGAAATCCTGAGGGGAGAGACTTGCCCTAAAATATTCCTTCCCCATGTCCATGTTTTAAGACCTGGGGAAGGTCTGATCACAGTGTAGAAGAACTGGCCCAGGATGCGATAGAACTAGCCTAGGTTGGAGTCAAAAGTATGGGGAAGATCTGGCCTAGGTTGGAAAGGGGGATGAAGATAGGGGGAATATCTAGGCTGAAACTTTTCCACCTCAAATTTGGGGAGAAGGTCTGGCAAGTGGTGGGGAATAACTGGCCTAGGTTATTACTTCCCTGGGGAAGAACAGGCCAGGGGGATGTTTCAGCCTGTTACACAAGGAGAGCCAACAGTCTATCTATTGTAGAGCATTCAGTCCATATCATCCTAAACATCTGTCAAGGGAGAATAACATGTTCCATGTCAGCTGACGTGATCTTTTCATTGCTCTTGGAGCATTCCTCTGAATTGAAAGGTTCTCTTGTATTCCTCAGTAATCTTCCTCTTTCTTTTTTCCGTAGATTTGCCATCATCGTCTTTATCTGTGACATGATATATATTATCCCTCACCTCGAAGTGGAGCAGGTGATATAGGAACGGAGTTCGTCCATCTGTCCTTCTGTCCATTTGCTTCTCAAAGGGCACAAATTTTCTCAAAAACTATTTAAGTCAGAGAAAAGAAATTTTACACTCTGAGGTTACTGTCATGATCTCAAAAGAGTTCAAAAATCACAGAGGTATATACCTTGCTCTGTGCTTTTCAACTTAGTGCATACTGTGTGTGAAACTGCTGTAGTTACTTGAATGAAGGTTTGCATTCTTATCTAAGTAAGAAACTGAGTTCGAAAAGTGGTCCAGTGAATTGAGTTATGGCCCTTGATCTTTGTTATTTTAGTTGGTGCATAGTATCTGCAATGGGGACAATGGGGACAATTTTTCTCAGAAACTACTGAACTTAAGCTTATCAAAGAGATACTTATCAAGACTGAGTTATTTTTTCCAGAGAAAGGGCTTTTTTTGTGTATCAATTTCACGTGTATAATTTCTTCTGATGAGATAAAGCAGCCCAAGTGCCTATCTCTTCTGAAGGCTTAATGGGACTGTTATTTATAGTTTATAGTCACTAGTGTATGAACAAACAAAATAGTGATAGTGATAACACTGGTTTTTTTGTTGTCATCTGTGTTACTGGAGGGTGTGTAGGTGAATCTCAATAAGCAAAATATCACTATCCTTTCAGGACGGAGTAGCCAACCCACAACCTATATTTCATCTGCAACCCTGACTACTTTGCTTTACCTGGCATGCTCAGCTAGGGGCTCTTCCTCTTTGCCAGTCTCAACTTAGCACAAAATTTTGCAAAGTGTGAAGCAAACATGTGTGCCTGAATATCCTAACACTGATCACATCTAGGATCCACTTCACATATGATAACTTGGCACTTGGGACAGGCAAAATAAGGGTCCTTGACTGACATGTAGGAATGACATATCCCACACTTCTTATCATGCCTCAAAATTGGAATGAAATAACTGGAATTTTGGAAATTATGTAAACAGGAAAATTTTATAGGAAGTGAACTGAATAGTAACCAGAAAGATATTGAAACTAAATAACAAGAAACTAAATGAACTGAAAATGTTAACATTAATTTTCTCCAGCATTTTGAAAAAAACACTTCTTGTCATGTTAGCTAGTTCAAGAGAAAATAATAATGATTCAAGATGGCTTCTGTTGTTTTCTGAGCAAAACACTGACTCATATACTATGCTGAAGGAGGTGCTGCAAGTACAGACTGTTTTTACAGGTGAATAAGGCTATTGTATTTAAGAGGTGAAGTTTACATATGAGGTGAGTATGGTTTTAAGCCGCTTTTAGCAATATTCCCGCAATATCATGGCAGGGGATACCAGAAATGGGCTTCACACATTGTGGCCATATTGAAAAATAAGATTCACACTTCGTGATGAAACAGGGGTGTCATCATTGATGGGACCAAGTACATGACATTTCAGCTTTACTGGTTCAGTAGTTTCTTAGGAGAAGATGTTTATGCCGGATGTCGGACAAAACGCCATGACATAAAATAATAGCATGACACTGTAGCTCAGCTGAATATGTAACTGTAAGCAGCAGTTAAAATAAAAGACAAATTTAAGCTTCCTAAGTTTAGCAATTTCAGAAGAGAAGAAAATAAAAGAGCCATTCATGCATTCTGAGTGAATTTAAGATTATGGTCAAAAGACCATTGAAACATTTAAATACTGATAAAAAATGGATAAAATGTGTTGAGATTTGGCCTTAAAGAGGCCTTTCAATGTAGTTGCCTGTGTACAGCCACACTGAAAAATCAGATTTGAATCTACTGAACAAATTCAGTTGTGTTCATTGATGTCATCAGTTTCTGTGGATGAGTGGTTTCTGAGGAAATGTTTATGATGGACATAAGCTCAATTGGTGAACTGAAAATGATAAATAGTTGTTTGTAACTAATCAGTTCTTTCCAAACATCAGTCTACTTGAGACAGATGATTTGGGAGGTGGGAGGGAGTACTTGTGATGTAATAGAGGTAGTATTCTTAGAATTATAAACAAAGATAACTATTGTTTGATAATTCTCATGAATACTCAACTTCTTTTACATCATTGCTGCATGCAAGAATGTACCAGAGGGAAGCTGGGTTCTGGCTTCAGTATAATCCCTGTATAGTTGACAGTAACGTTGTATTATCCTTGTGTTTCCATCACATAACTGTTTCAAATCCCCAAGACTGTTATGTCTTGAGCCATTTCCAGAGGACTTGAAAATCATGTAGTGGAATAATCAGTCATTATGTGATAACTTCTTTAGAACTACCATTATGTTGCTGATATCCCTATTTATGATTATCCCTATAGATATTCTTGGATATCATAATTTTGATATATTTTATGTCATTTCCGGTCTTTTCTGTCGGCTTCTGATGTCACTTCCGGTTGAAATGATGTCATTTCCTGTTTATGACATCACTTCCGATACCTAAGACACCAATAATGACGTCACTGTCGGTCCCAAAAGAATTCATTTCATTTCTTATGAGCTCATTTCTGGTCCCTTTGACTTCAATTATGACCTCTCTTTCGCTTATGACGTTCTGGTCTCATTTCTCTTCTGATTGTGATGTCACTTCCGGTCATAAAGATGACTCAGCTGTTATGATACATGGTTTCTCTAGGGATCTATCCTCATGGAAGAAAGGTGTACTCACCTTCTGAAGTTGTAGGTGAAAATTCCTCGTCCCCACCCCAAATGTTTTCCGTAGAAGGGCGGAAAAACTATTGGTTAACTAGAAAGTGTTTTTACTCGTAAAAACATGTCTTCCCCCACTCCCCTAACCCCCATTCATTCGTTTACTTCACGTTAAACCCCATCTCTTCATTCCCACCCTCCATTACTAAATAACAGAGACAAAAATAGAACTCCTAGAAATTTCAAACAACTAATGGGCACCACTTCAGTGCTGGGTTAATGTGTATACAAAGTTTCGC